TGTGCCAGTCCTCAGGCTGGCTTAGGTTGGAGTGGAACAAAAGCTATCAGGTAGCCTGGCCATTCCGATCCCTCAGAGGTTTCTAGGACTTGGGCCCCAGGCCCAATATCCCACTGCCTGCTGACACATGGGTTGTACCTAGTTGCAGATCCACCTGGCGCTGCTAGCAAGGATGAGGCAACACTGACCACAGGTAAGAGGCTGGTCTCAGGTTCATGGAAGATGTTGGATGTCACAACTCGCCCTAATAGTCTGCATGTCCAGATGGTCATTCTCCTTCCAGCTGGGGCTGGGGAGAAGGAAGTGGTCTCCTGAAGGGAGGATTCTGGTGAGAGATCAGGAATTCTTTCCCAGGAGACTTGCGGGAACACTGTCTGCCAAGGTGGGGTAAATGTTCCTAGGGGCAGGAGGAAGAACAAGATACCATTCTGGATACTTCTTGGATCTTTCTCGTCCCTTTATTCTAACTGCTGCTGTCCTCATGACTTCTTCCTTGAATGGCACCTCCCATGTCCCTACACTCAGGCCACCCTCCCTCCTGTCTGTCTTCCGCACTACAGCCTGAAAAATCTTTTAAATATTACTCTCCTGCTCACAATCCTTCAATGGCCCATTGTCCTTATGGTAAAGTCCAAGCTCTTTTCTTGTGAAACTCACAGCCCTTCACAAGCCTCCCCTCCAGGCTGGGATCTTGACGTTGAGCACCTTGCTCTGATTTCCAGCAGCGCCATATTGCTTGTAGTTCACCTCCCATATCAGGCTGCTTCACTTGCCCAGCCTTCCCTCATGCTGTTCCATCTGCCTGTACGCCTCCCACTCACATTTCCCATGTTGCCTAGTTTTGGGGGCGTATCCTTTGGGAAGCCTTCCTGAATCCACGGGGACCCCCTCCTTTGGGTTTCTACAACCCCCGGGCTTCCTTTGAATCCAGGACTTATCCTTGTGGCTGTCACCCCTAATTAAACCCTTTCTGGGGTCAGGGTCTGGGTCCTATCCATCTCTGTATTCCCAAAGCTCTGTCACTGGCATTTAGTAGTAGCTCAATAAATGTTCAGGAACTGAACTGAGCTTGCTAAGGTCCCTTCCACTTGAGGGGATGACAGGGTTGGATATGTTGATAAGAGCTGTCACTGGGCTGGAGAAGAGGCAGAATCCCAGGAGCAACTGGGGCCAGAACACTGCCATGGCTGCCGAGCATCTTGGCATAGTGGCCAACCCCTCTCCGTGCCCTTCTCCTTCCAGTTTTCCCAGAACCAGGCTTCCTGGCCCACTTCTCCAGTCCCCAAGACTTAAGCATAACAGAGCCACCACCCATGCAGGTCACACAAGTGACAGGAGGGGGTGGAGGAGGTAGTGACTCGACATCAGGGTCCCCAGCAGCCACTTATTCTTCTGGGCTTCTTTCCACAGAGAAGTCAGACTCTCTCTTCTGTCCCCTGAAGGCTGTTTTCAAAATCACACCCCAGCAGACAGTTTTATTTACAAGGAAATCTTGGCAGGATCTTGACTTGTTAGTAGAGTCGGGGAGGGGGGTGGGGGAGGTGAGAATCAAAAATAGTTGAAACGATCATCACACTTTCTGAAACCGAGATGAAAATTGGTGTCTGTAGCAAACTCACCTAATTAGAATGGAGGAGTTAATTTCCTTCTCTCCGTTTAAGGGGAGCAGTCACTGCCGGGTGAGATGGTCACAGGTTGTATCCTGGGGCTGCGGTTACGTGTTTGCTTTATGAAGATGACAAAGTCAGTTGCAACTTTCACTAATGGAAAAGAGCCTGTTTCCGAGAGGAGGGGAGAGGGGCCAAGCGGAGTTAGTGAGTGGATGGTGGGAAAAGGAAGGGGAAGGGGGGGCACAATCTTGGTGTGGCCGGGGAGTGACGGGGAGATATGGCCAGGAATGAGCCCCTGAGCCCCCTAGGAGAGCTGGGCACCGTTTACACGCAATCCTCTCCTTCCGGGAGATGGGGAGATGGTCTCTCCAGGGGGCTCTTTCCTGCAGGGAAACAGCACCAGTTTTTTCCTTAAACGATCCCCTACTCCTTTGGCTAACTTCAGTCCTGCATGCTTCACTTTTTCTATCTCCCCTTCCCCAGTTGGGGCACTTCCCTGGACTTAAACGTTGCCAACGCAGTCACGTGAAGTCCGGGCACATTCCCATAGCTCTGGGTGTAGGAATGACAACATTTAGGGTTGGGGGCCCGGGACCCCCCTATCTGACTTCTCCCATCCACAGACATGCTGGGGCCTCCCAGAATCTGAGGTCTCAGTGATGCGAGATGTAAGGTAGTTGGGGGGATTCCGTGCTCACAGCATCCCACCCCCAATTCACTCCTAGTCAACCCTGACGTTGCCAACTTAGCGAAAACCTCACTTCTGCTTCCACACGTCTGCTGCCTCCAAGTGGTCGTTAACCCGGAGGGAAAAACGGACCCGGTCCCGGTCCCGGAGCGGAGGCTGCTGGGGATGAGGCCGGGGACAGCAGGGCCCCCATCCCCGCTCCGGGCAGTGCAGCCACTTCCCCGCCACCCCCACCCCCACCGCGTCCCT